TGCAAACACACAGAGACAAATTAATTTATAGGTAATGCAGATATTGGCTTTTAATTATGAAAAAAATCTGTAATAATTTATCATCCGCTGCCATAAAGATATTGAATATTTGTTTGTGTGGTCAAAAAATATTGATTAAATATTAATAAACTTCTAGAATTTAACATTTTGACACATTAAAGTGCCTCCAATAAATTGCTAAACTACAACTTGCTAACATTATCCAAACACAAAGGTCTCTGCTTTTAACTTAAACATGCATTCATCATGATGAGGGATGAGAGCTGCAAAATAGTGTGTAAAAACACAAAATACACCCTTAAATTTTATATTTATTAACAGCTTTTGCAAAGCTAAAAAAGGTTAGCAGGCATACATATTGACAAAGGGACTAAGAGAGATCCAGTGAGAAAAGCAGATGACGGTGAGCGTGTGACAATGTATTTAAGGATAAAGGAATAACCTTGAAGTCAGGAAGTGGCTCTTCGTGTATGGCAGGACTAGAAACAGGCTCCTGCAGGGGGAAGTGGACRAACAAGCAGAGAGAGCAGCTAGAGGTTAGCACAGCTAAAGTAAACAGACCGGCCACCACACAAACAAACCTGAACCAATGGGAAGGCTGGTTCAACCTTCACATTACAAATTGCAAAGATGTACAGAAGAAACTGAACAAGAAAACAAATGACTTCTGCATATTTTGTGTTATTTAAGACATATTTTTAAAAGTATATGTAGCTGGATTGTCACACTGCAATGAGTTTTGGTTTATGTAGCCTTTACATCAATCAATATATTTACTTTCATTTAACAATTTAAAATATAATTCCTTATAGAACTATAAACACTATTAAAAGACTATTACTCTGAAGTATCCATTAACATTTTTGTCATCCAATGTTAATTTTAGGTGTTAGATACAGTTTTGCTCATTTTAGCGTTTATGAAGTGACCATTTTAGATTTTAGTTTGATTTGGGTAATTTTAGCATTTACTGTTTTGCTAAATTTATAATTTACCTAAAATATTGCTATTTTTAGCATCTTACAATGGTTTTCCTAGTTTTAGCTTTTAGCTACTGTTTTGCAAAGTTTAGCTTTAAGACAATGTTTTGCTAATTATTGCCATTGGTTGTGGTTTTGCTCATTTAAAATTTTAGCTGGGAATCAGATAATTTTAGTTTGTAGCTACAATCTTACTAGATTTTGGTTTTAGTAAGAGATTTCCAACATTTAGCTGCTTGATGTGTTTTCTTAACTTTAGCTTTTAGCACACAGTTTTGCTTGTTTTAGCTGTTAGTTTGGATTTAACTAATTTTAGCTTGAAGTTATTAGGGTTTGGCTAAATTCAGCTTTTATCTATAATTTTGCTCACTTTAGCTCTAAGCTTTTTTTAATAACTTTTAGCTAATGTTCTGTTCATTTTAGCTTTAATTTACTGTTCTGCTCTTTAGTGAGTAATTTAGCCACAGCTGATCTGAGCCTGCTGACTCATTTATGTGGAGTCAGGGTCAATTAATCTTCCAAGCAAAAATTTCAAACACAGTTTCACATTTACAGAGCATACATAGTTTGGAGGACAGAGATGAGGTGTGCGTTGCACAGATAGCAATCACAAACATTAGCTCTGAGCAGGTTTTCTTTAAAGCAGTTCTCACTGCTAGACTGCTGCAACCAACATGACCTCAAGACAAACGACAGAGTAAATTTATTGCCATTCTCTACAAGACTGTTTGTTAAGCAGGCTTGAATATTGTCAAAATTCATAATCACACATTTTTACCCACAAGGCAGAAGTTTGTGTTTGGAGTTTTTTTGGTTTTACTATTTCATTTTTCTCATGTTCCAGAACTCTAGTACTGTCAAGGTCCGACAACATTACTATCAGATGTTTCTGTGGTCTTCAGTCACCCTGACATGGAAAACTAAAAGAAAAAAAGACAAAGCAACCGGATTTCTGTTCTGTAGCTGCATATGTGTGGAGCTACAAAATTTATACTGCATGACTCATTAGTTTGATTGATCTGTATACCCCCGCCTCATAAACGTAAAAGTCTAAGAAATGCGGCATGCCCGTTTAGACAAGTGGTTCTCAATCCTGGTCCTTGAGGACCAGTATCTTGCATGTTTGAGATGTTTTCCTGCTTTGGCACACCTGATTTAAATAAAAGAGTGATTGACAGGCATCTGCAGAACTCAAAAACCCACAGAAGAGCAGGTACACAACTAAAACATGCAGGATAATGGCCGTCAAAGACTGGGATTGAGAACCACTTTAGACAAAAGGTTCTCTTTGACAAACATCATGTACCTGATTTAGTACCAAGTGTTATGATCCTGCTCCTGTCTGCCTTGTCATGCTCATTTCCTGCTCCTGTCAGTCTTGCCCTGCTCATTGCCTCTGCCCCTCCCGTCACAGAAAACACAATCAAGCTCATTCATGACACCTG